GGAATAAAAGGGGGCGACCGGCGACACATATTCGTAGGGATCGGTATATCCCATCAAAGTTCACCGGGATAAGTCTATCTCGTTAAAGTTCGTTTGGTTAGGTTTATCCCAACAAAATTCGCTGAGACATGTCTAGGTTAGGTTACGTCAGACTAACCCAACATTGAGAGCGAAACCTAAACCGTAAAGCCCTTGATCGAGTTACGTGATTATCCAAGCCTAATTGAGTCCTAAGTGCCCTACAGTAGATTTATAGCTAGAGTTTAAGGCCTGCGAACGATTATGGAACAAGTTCGGACAAGCTCGAAAGCTAGGGTTTTTGGTTCTAGACTTGGATTTAGAGTTTGGAGATTAAAATTCGATTTTTAGAATTTGTAATTAATTGAAACTACTTTTAAAATAATTTTATATTCCACAAAATGAGTTAAGATAATTAAATATAATTAATTTGTATTTATTAAGTCATTTTTATGAAATTAATTGAAATATTTAAATACTAATTCTTCAATAAATAGTATAGCCATAGCCGTGCGGCTATACTACAAAATATAATATTTTAACAGTGTAGGGCTATTTCTAGCATTTTAAGGAAGAATTTGTAAAAGAATTATGTAATGGCCCCCAAACTAAGTTATTCACACTCTTGGTCCCTCTAAAAATTGTTTTCTAGCTTCACCCTGCTATTTTTTTAATTAAAAAAAAATTATGAAAGATTTCATTAATTTGATAAACTTGGAGTATTATCCAATCACAATGACGCAAGTCATGGAGGTTCTTCCTCTAACCAAAATATTTCCTCATCTAACAACAAGGCATGCCTAGAAAGGAAATGAGCCACCTTATTACATTCTATGGGGCTACATCGCCATATCATTAGAGCGAAAGAATATGTGAGGCACTTAGCTTCTTCAAAAAGGTGACCTTCCACACACGCAAATCCTCCCCATCTTTCTCAAGAGTAGTAATAATATATTGTGCAGTCCCTTCCACTTCAATAGTCCCGACAAAATTTCGGCGGGAAAGATCTATCGCAACACATATTTGCCGGAATATGTCTATTCCATCAAAATTAGTGTTCTTTTAGGCTCTTGGGTTGCTTTAGAGTTTCAGTTATATATGTTGGGTTTTATGGACTTTAATTGAGATGATGCTTAATTATAGTGATGTGGGCTAGTAGCTGTTTATGCAGTTTTTGTCCGTTTTAGTTTTGATTTTTAGTGTGTTACTTTTGTTGCAATCTTAATTTGTGTTGTTGAAGATTATCTTCTTTTTCTAGGACATTTCCTATTGAAAGGAGCGATAATATACTAAACTCACACTGTCACACACATTACACATATGCTAGGACTCAAACCTAGAACCTTTGTATTGTTGGAGATTATCTAATTAAGTTGTTTTTTGATATATTTTATTTTATTTTTTAAAAGAAAGTTGGACTGGATTACTATTGGATCAGATTAACTCTTAAATTTTGATTTCTGAAAGTTTGACTTGTGAAGCTAGCAAGTTATCAAATTAAGATCATAAATGAGTTATCTAATTTAAATCATAAAATTTAAATCCTCTTATATCGAATTCGTATAGAAACCTCATCCATTTACAGGTCTACTTGAAACAATGAATGAGACTTTGTGAGATATTAGAAGAGATGCATTTGAATGACTCGAAGCTAATTGGAAAAGGCGGATGGTGATAATATGTAAACATTAGCCCATTTAATTTAATTTATTTGCTACATTTCTGGTTCAAAAAATAAACTGAATACATTTTTCCGATCTATTTTGCTAAGAAGACCAAAGGGAAGAGGATAAATTAACCAGGAGGTAAAATCTTATTAACCCCTTATCACCTCTCAACTCATAGCCAAAAGCATTCATTTAGTAATGAACCACACAACAATGTTAAAGAATTTACCTGTAATTAATTTTCAGTTAAACTGACAAGGTTAAAAATGAATATATTTCTAAGAATATAAGGGGTAGGAAGGCACAAAGAAAGGCAAAAAGTCACACTTTTATTGTCAAAACAGGAGCGATTGGTTTTTACACTCTGCTGTACACACTGTCATCCCTCAGATATCAACACAACCTAAGTATGCATATGCAAGCCCCCTAATTGCTCTACTGAAATCAATTTCTGAATCCAGAAAAAGCAACCAAAAAAAAAAAAAAAAAATTCAAATTTTGAATAAAAAAATTGAAAATGAAAGACAAAAATGCAAGCTCACAACAAACCTGTGACCAGAAAGAATACCAAGAAGCTAACTTAACAAAAATGCAAGCCTAGACATTCAAACCAACTCAAAAGGCCAAAGAGGGGAAAAAGATTAGAAAATTTGTTTGTTGTTTCTGTCCAATCATGAAAACAAGCTTCTTGGGAGCAGAAGCAGCTAAAAATGCACTGATGCTGTCCCTTTCACTCCTGAGAATCTGTGTTCCCCCACTGCAGGAAGAAAGCACTGTAATCAGAATGCTTCCTCAGTTGTAATTCAAAGATAACCAAACTGTAGTTTTCACAAGGATTATGTACAGTTTTGCTGGGCAAGCATTCCAACGCATGCAATGTAAACTGCAGGAAGCTGAAGAAAACGCCGAGCATGGGGAGATTCAAAACAAGTAAAGGGCCATTTTAAGCTTGTTCTGTTTCCACTTTGGCAACTTATAAAAAGCATCCTTTGCCATTCCGAAATTCTCCCTGAACTCCTCTGATGACAAGTAAATCTGCTTGTGCGAAACTCAAAAACATAAGGATGGGATTGAAGACATATACTTGTGATGCTATAATTGTTATAATGCAGTACCAAAATGTTACCTCTCGCTTCGTCACATCAATATCTGTAATAGGATCTGATGATGTTGTTTTAAGGCGTTCATATGGGTATACTGGGAGACCCTCATCTTCTGCTTCACCCTCCTTCACATCTTCCTCTATGGTGAGGGTTTCTAGTCTACTGGTCATAGAATTCTCCTTGTTATTCGCCTCAGGTTTTGGTTTGGGGGCCCCTGAGTTCACTGCACTCATGGAAAAGGTGCTTTAAATTTAGTACCTCCAAGGAACCAAGTGCAACAATTTCTAACGTGAAGAAGCTTAACCAGTACTTACTTTTAGGCGATCTTGGTATATTGGATTCTCTTGCTGGTCCTGGTTTTTCAAAGCCAGCAGTGAGTGATGCTATAGCTGATGATTTTGAAGCCAATTTTGATGAATCTGGGGTCACAGATTTGGGGTATAACTTTCTGACCATTGGTGGTGGAGTTGAAAGGTTCCTGGCATTAGCATTCTCAAAAGTAGCAGCCAATGCATTGAAGGCTGGAGATCTGCCCCTCACACGAACTCGATCGGGGCTGAAAGACATGCTTCTGGAACGCTGTGATTTTTCTGGCACACTAGACCTTCCACCATAAGATACAGGTGCTCTCCGTTTCGGTTTCTAATCAAGCATTAGATAATTAATAAGTTATTGCTAAGCACTAATCTGGCAACAAGATGCAAACAAGTGTCATGTGCAGAGTCACAATGTAGTAGTGGCACACTTGCATTAACAACACAGATCTTAACAAGGGGCAACTATTGATATTGATTAGTATTTATACTAGGCTTTCTCTCTTGTATACTTCCTGTGTACTTGGATTGCACATGCTAATAAAATTCTCTCTTATAGACTCAAAAGATGTGAATGCATATGAGAAATGGAGTTGAAAGAGAATTCCAAGCATAGATGCGAATGAAGTCAAAAGAAGTATCTACTCATGATCAATATCTTATGCAATCAATACAACCAAACAAGGCTTACATTTAAAGTTGGAGTACCCCCGTTTTTCAGAATAGTAAGTTTCCTTTGGAATGAGTTCCCATGCATCTGTACCCAATAAAAGAAAGGAAAATCAGATTGCCGAAAACATGTCAAATTGTGGTGACAACTTCATAATGATATAGCGTCTCACAGAAGATTTTGCAGAGTCCCAATTGAAGAAGCGCATGAAGAAAGGTGGCTCACTTCCTTCCATGACAATATATATTGAAGCTTCACGAGATAACTTTTCCATAAGAAAATCATGTTCGATAAATTTCTGTCGAAAGTTAAAATTGCCAAGAAATGGTGTCATTAGAAATCTTAAAGAGAGTTGACACAACCAATAAGAGATGTAAAAGACAGTTGAGAAAATTTCCACGAAAGTTACTGTATCTTAAAAGACAGTTGATACAGCTAACTCAAGTCAGATACAAAATTATTTCCCAGTGCATGGTGCACATCATGTTGTGGAATAATAGAAGTTTCAAGATACATAGAAAATAGAAATAGATTTATGAGTTTCTATTTCCCGGTGCACTGTGCACATCAGGCTGAAAGGCAAAGAGAGATTTGTGTTTTGCTAACTAGCAGAGGAACCAAAGTACAGCATTGCATCCAGACAAATTCTAAAAAGCCATACCTCCCCAATAGTTAAAGCATGCATCCTATCCTTGGAGTCGACCAGTTGGCCGACCCAAACAAAGATGTCTGAGTGACAATCCAAGATGAATGTATCTTCAGTCATCAAATCATCCTGGGTGAAGTTGTATATCTCCACTACCTGCAAAAATTACTTCCGTTTTAAGCTGTATGCAGAAATAAATTCAAAGTACGATTGCATAACTTTGATGCAAGAAAGCATCAATATTCCATGCAAGTTGATGATTTTATTCATCTCATTCTTGAGATCATAATCCGTTTCATGCTAAGATCTATGGACATAGACACAACTGCCAATTATCATGTGTTGATTAATTCATAAGGTGCCAGAAGTAGGACTCTAGTAGTGTCGATCTTGGCTATTGGGGCAAAGGTCTCTTGGTAGCCCACCTCATGTCTCTGTCTGTACCCCTTCGCCACCAATTTAACTTTAAATCTTTCAATGGATCCATTTGCTTTGAGTTTCACAGTATAGATCAACATGCATCCCATAGTCTTCTTTCCATAAGGTAAAGGCACGAGCTCTCATGTGGCAATCTTCTGTAGAGCTCGCATGTAACAACCCGTCCCAAAAATCACTTTTCAATTGATTATTTAATTGTGGATTTACAATTTTGCCCTCGGGGATAGGGTTACTTTAGTTACTTTTCGATCTGGAAGGATTTTGAGGATTTGAGTGACACCATTTCGTAGAGCTCGCTCTCCCGAGTTCGTAGACACGTAGTGGGCTTAAATCGAAGTTATAACGAAGAAGTTGTGGCCAATGGAAGTGCAGTAGAACAAACGTAAATTTTTCAAAGTTGGGTTTTAAAATACCTAGTCAGCCTCTCCCTCTCTCTCTACGCATGCGACTTTCTCTCTTTACACGAGCGGCAGCAAATTTTCAACGGCGATTTTGTCGTCGTTCCAGTGTCCGATTCGAGCAAAATTGGTTGCAAAAGTTTCGTATCGATGTCCTCTATCTTACCCACATTTTCCTAGCACAAAAACTTAACGAAAATAAATTGGAATGATTGGAAGTTCGGGTGATTTTTGAAGTTTCCGACTGTGAGAATCCTTATTCTTAAAAATGTTAATATTTTATTTTGGTAAGTATTAAAAATTACAATTATTTTATGAAAGTATATGTTTTATTTAATGCAAATTCAATAATTTTGATGATATTCTTAAAACATGCTTTTAATATTTAATTCTATTCAATGGTAGTAGGATTTTTGTCCTTAGCTATCTAGAGTTTCATGCATGGTTATGTAATTGAGTTAATACACTCCACGTAGTTAGCATGTGTCAATCAAATATGCATTATTATTATTCTATTATATATATATATATATATGTACATATAAAATATTACGTGCTATACTTTTATAAATATTATCACTAATAAATATATACTTTAGTAATTATATACGTTTTATTTTGGAATCTATGATATTAATGATAAATAAGTGTTTTATTATTATTTATTTGATATGTACATAATTCATTTGATATATGCATGCTTATCTTCCTCCAAAATTATTGTGTGGTGTTAAAGTTTTCTATTAGTTATCATGTTTTGCTGTCAAAACATGTGGTGCCTTCATATTAAGTTAAGTGTGAGTAAGCAAGAAAATTGCTATAGCTTTTCAAATTGGTTACGCCATGTAAGCAAGAGGTGGAACTTTAAGTTTTCCTCTTATTGACACATCTTCTAGCATGCAATTATTTAATAAAGTTTTTGATAGACTTTTCAGCTTTGGCTGGAACAAAAAGGTTATTGTTATCCTTTAGTAAACTGCCAATTACTTCATCCAATAGAAGTAAAGGTGTAGCCGACATTCCTTTAGTATAAATAGGAATGCAATTCTTTCATTTTTAACGCACGGCATGCATGGTTTGAATGAGAAAACCATAAGAGTTAAGAAAGAGAAATACTAGTGAGAGAGAGAATTTGAGTGTGGATACGGTGGAAATTAGGGAGTCGTCTTACAATTCTAGCAAAAGCTCATGTGGCAATCTTCTGGAGAGCTCGCATGTAACACCCCGTCCCAAAAATCACTTTTCAATTGATTATTTAATTGTGGATTTACAATTTTGCCCTCGGGATAGGGTTACTTTAGTCACTTTTCGATCTGGAAGGATTTTGAGTGACACCATTTCGTAGAGCTCGCTCTCACGAGTTCGTAGACACGTAGTGGGCTTAAATCGAAGTTATAATGAAGAAGTTGTGGCCAATGGAAGTGCAGTAGAACAAACGTAAATTTTTCAAAGTTGGGTTTTAAAATACCTAGTCAGCCTCTCTCTCTCTCTCTCTACGCATGTGACTTTCTCTCTTTACACGAGCAGCAGCAAATTTTCAACGGCGATTTTGTCGTCGTTCCAGTGTCCGATTCGAGCAAAATTGGTTGCAAAAGTTTCGTATCGATGTCCTCTATCTTACCCACATTTTCCTAGCACAAAAACTTAATGAAAATAAATTGGAATGATTAGAAGTTCGGGTGATTTTTGGAGTTTCCGACGTTGTTTTAGGAGATCCCGATTACGGTTTTCGTCGATTGAGGTACGAATCTTTATCCCATCCACGTGCTTTAGTTGTCTATGTTAGTATCTTGGATCAATTTTGAGGTTTTACATGTCGTTCAAAATACCCATTTTAGCCGACGGTTTCGGCTTTAATTCGGCTAGTTCCGACTAGTTTTTGGCCGTGGTCCAAGAACAAACCTTGATCCCCTAGTAAGTCTGAATCTGTTGGCATAGGTATTCTCCGGTGGTTTGGAGATTTTCCGTCGCTGGTAAATCTTTTAAGACACCCACGCGCTGTCGGAGGTAGGTGGCGGCCCATAGAGTTCTAAATTGTTACTCTTGTTGTCCTAAGCGTGACGGTATGCTCGAATTTGGATTTGATTATCGTTTCACAGTCGAACGGATATTGCACCTATTATGCAATATCCGGGTTCAATAGGTTTGGACCATTCAATCGGTCCCATTTTCTAATGCGTTGTTCCTCCTACTTCTAGGATTTGTGTTGGAACTGGGGGATCGAGAATGGGAGTCCCGGATACTTCGAATCAATAATTCTAGAGTTAAGTAAACTGGTTACCGTCCGATCGTGCGATTGAGAGCGATCCAATTGCTCGATCGAGACCAAACTCTGGAAACTTGTTAAGTAGACCTTGTTGGACTTATAGTAAAGTTTGGATCGAAAATCAGAGGTTGTGGGCCCCACGAGCCTAATTGTTCAAATTCAAAGATCGGGGTCAAACCGACCGTTAGATCGTGACGGGACTTCTAGAATGGGCTGAACTTTTGGTTATGGACCAATAGGAATTGTCATATAACAATTGGGGTCGTGGTCCCTTCGAGCCCAGTTGACTTAGATTGTGGGCTTTATTGGCTCGGTTGAGGCCTTTTAGTAGTTGTAATTGTAATTGGAGGTTTGTTTTAAAATGATATTGTGTTTTGAGTGTTTTATTAAAATTTTATGAATTATCATGTAATCGCTTTTACTTTCCGTGATTAAGGAATGGCTTGGATAACCGGGTTTTGGCATGAATAAGGAATTAATTAAATGCCTGATTGTATGTCTATATTTAAATATATGCTCGGTGGCTTGAAATCGATGAATGATGGATACTAGTTTTCACAATAGTGTGTTGTACGTATTTGAATGTAGTTTGAGAACAGTTTTGAAAGATTATGCATGGTCAAGTTCAAGTTAAGGAATGTTGGGATTGATCTCATTTTAAAAAGGGATTTTTGGTTATCTATTTAAGAATTGATCTTTGGAAAGTTGAGAAAGAATTTGGAAACTGGATTTGTGAAAGTGGATTAGTGAAAAAAGAGGAATTTTATGATAAGTTTCAGAAAATGGTTTTCAAAACCCACCACCGGAGTATCGCCCCCCCCCCCCCCCCCCCCCCCCCCTCCCCTTTCCTCTTCCA